CAAGTTTCGCAAAACAACTCTGTTAGATGACCCAGTTTTATTCATGTCTTTACAATGAATACAAACTAGTTTAAATTTAATTTATTTGGCAAAGTATAGTAGTTTAAATTCGGAGAATTCAAAAAATTATGGTTGAAGAGAAATTTAGTAAATTCAATTATATTTTACCTTTGTTTGATTCTTCTTTTTAAAATTTTTATTATTTTAAATTTTGCTGTGTCTTAACTAGATACTAGATGAACATGTGTATAATATTCGGATGAGCTTTTTAAATCGAAATCTTATTTCATATAAAAATATCATTTATCTGTTAGTTTTTTTAAATTGTTACATTAAAACACTTTCTGAGAATAACTAACAATAATAAATAGAGCTAAGAAAATAAAATATATTGGGTAAAATAACAAAGCAATGACATAAAACTAAGAAAATAAAATATATTCATTTTTTATTTTTATTGAGGTTTTTTCAGAGTTTTCAATAGGATTTATCAAGAGACTTGGCATATTACATTTCATTTAATATTTTGCTGCCCAAAATGAACTTTTTACATTTATTATTTGTTTTTGCAATACTCGGGAGTATTTATTTTCATATCGATTTTATTCTAAGCTAAAAATAGCATTTTGGCACATTCTTGTTCATTAGATAATTGATATCCTAAATATTGATATTCGATATCTTGAATAACAAATTTTATTTGAAAAAAGAAACGTAATTTGTTTTTCGAATGTTTTCCCAATTCGAGCCATGATTTGAACTTATTTCATCACATTTTAAGTAACATTGATGAAGCTATAATTAATAATTCTAATATAACATTGATAATACTTTAGTTAATAATTCTTTAAAGTTACGAATTATGAGCTATTTTCTGAATAAATTGTACTATTTACATTGTAATTTTCAACATTTTGTGCTCTTAGAATTTTGATATTGCAAATATCAAATTTGTTGATTTCTTTCTGTAATATTAAGAATTATTTGAACAATATACATGGAACGTCAGGGAACTTGTAAAATTAATTCAAAAAAATATAAATTTAATGAATTCGACTTATTTGTCATTGGACAATATATCATTTAATGAATTTCATTAAATGAATTTGATATTGTTGGAAAGTATAATGTACCTACATACAATACCCATCATCTTAAGATAATATCTTTATTTTGATAAACAATAAATTTAAAATAAATACAATTTGAAAACGAGGAAATCAAGCAAAGGTAAAATATTAGAACAAAACGAATATTTATTATATTTCTTTCATAGATTTTCGAACTATTTTATAATATTTTGAGTTTTTATAATATTTTATAAAGTTAGGAACTTCATGCTATTTTAGAATTTTGTGCTCACAAGAATTTTGCTGTAGCACATATTAAATTTCGTGGATTCTTTAATATTAGACATTATTAGAGAAGACTACCCGCAAACAATTTTTATGTTCTTGATTATTTATTATTTCTAAACTCCCAGTGAACGATATCTAATGCTGTATTTTTTCTGTACTTACTATATTTTTAATTTTTCGTATGGTGAGTTATAGTAATCGCAAAAAATGGAACAGGAAATTTTTTATATATCTTTAGTTTCAACACTTTCTGAACATTTTGACATTGCTTAGAAAAACATTGATGTATGTATGTGTGTGTGTTTGCATATGTACGGATACAAATTTTTGTCGACGATCGAGCACGGATCAACCGATTTGAATGATTCATAAAACATTCGATTTCTATTGATTGGGAGACGTGCTGATTAATTTTTGGCAAAAGCAGGTCCAGCTGTTGGGGCAAAAATGGCAATTCAGTTTGTGGGAGAACAGAGCGGCCGATTTGAATGATTTAAAAAACATATTATTTGCATTGACGGAAAGCAGAATGACTAATTTGAGGAGGCAGGTCCAGCGGTTTCGGAGATGAAAAAAAGTAAAAAAGGCAAATGATCCTGATAATAATCTATTTCAAAATATTTAAAACAATTGTTATAATCATTGATTATTTTATTTCTGGAATGCTTAATTACGGTACGGGAAGGTCCATCATTTGCCTTGAGGCACGATGCTTGCACCACTAGGTCTAATATAATTTACTAGTTTGTTACTGTATTTCTTTGAATGAACTTAAAAAGTAAAATATTAATTATCAACTATCATTAATTTAATTAGTACAAAGTTGCAACAGTACCACAATCAATCAAACAATTCCATTTGAACTGTATCCATTCCTATGTAATCTAATTTTCAGTTATCATGTATCATAATCACATCGGCCTACATAGACAACATAGCATACAATTAAATTTAAAATTTAGTGAATGCAAAAATCCGTTATATGTGCAAATAGTCGATTTTCCGTAATTGTCTCGTGTATGTACCTATTGTGTCGGTCGTGTTATGTTGTCCGTCGTCGTCCATGAGGCGAATTCGTTCGGTGAAACCGCGAATGTCCTATATTATCATTAATACGGCAAGTTCGCTCATGTGAGACGACAGAAGCGGAAAAACAACGTCACCCGGGCAATCGTACTGCACCTAGGTGAAAACACGGGAAAATGGTAGTAATGGACAGAACTAGTGGTGCATGGCATCGTGCCTTAAGGCAAATTGCTATTTGTTTCTGTACCAAAAATTATTTTTTTAAAAAAGCTGTAAAATTTTCTGCAAACTTTGAAAAAAATTAGATTTTTGAGAATTTTGATTTTTTGAACTTTTTAAATCATTTGCGCTGCGTTAGCTGTATCGAGTAAAATATCGAAGCGCGTAAGCGCCGCGTCGCAGTCTAACGCATAAACATTGGTACGGAAACCCATAGCAATTGTAAATAAAATTTGTCCTTATTATTAAA